GATATGGTCGTCTTCGACCATCGCGAGCGCAAGATATTCGTGGTGGAGGTGAGTGTGGCCCATGCCGCCGGAATGGAGTCTCAGCGTCGGTTGAAAATTAACCGGTACACGGTTAATTCAAATATTATTGAGGACCAGACCCGGGCAAGTTATCCCCCTGGGCTTAATCTTGTTTCAGATCTGCGAACTCAGTACAAGCAAGAAGTGATATTTGTGCCGGTGGTCGTTGGTATGTGCGGAGAACATTTGAATGTAACGATGACCGATCTCCGTGCTGCTTTCGGCCTGAGATCTGACGAGTGTGATAATCTCCTGGAGAGATTATCACGATCGGCCGTAATCGGGACGTCGCGGATTATAAAGAATCATTTGGCGACGCAGTAACATCAGCGTGAGGAAACATATGAATGAATATATAAATGATGAAGAATATCAGCCAGCAAGGACTAATCGGAAAAGGAGTGGTGGAAGAATGGATAAATCGAGAAAATCTCGACTCGAACCACCAATAAGCTGTAATAAGACCAATGAAAGGAGAAAACATCGATTCTAGCAAACGAATATAATCAGAGCCCAGTCATTCACGTGGAGACGATCTACCGACCAAGGAGCTGGCTACGGCCTTTTTGCCGTCTCTTGTGATAAGTCGTAGCATAGCAGTTTTTCCCTATGCATCCACGTGAATAGGTATATGATGTCAAGACTATGCTTGATGTCAGGTGGTGGTGGATGCTAAAGCATACATTGTTATATGCACATGCTATAACAAGATTGTCCAGCACAAGACCTTGCTGTTAGTCGCAGAGGTAAGAGGGGCCTCTGGTCTGTGGCTGGAGTTGGCCTATTGGCCAGCAGTGGTGAAACAAGAAAAATAACTTCTTAATTTTATTTTCTTATCTTTTCTTCTTCCTACTTCAAAATACCTTCCTGGCCCATATCCAACTTCTTTGCGTAACGCTATGTGTAAGGAGTTATAGCCTTGCTGCGTAAAAAGAAACGCCACTAGACATCCAGTGCCGGAAAGTAGAAAGAAGAAGCAAAACAGTGCCGGAAAGTAGAAAATGGCTTATATCATAAAAATTTAAGTATAGATACCTGTGCTGATTAACACGCAAACAGCATAAACTTTTT